GCTCATGTATGCCTACATGAACCCACCATGCCATTAGTTTTGAATGCTCTTCAATGAAGGAACCATTGGAGAATGGCAACTTGAACATGTGTGTTTAATGTAATTCCCTTCAGGCACCTCCACACTAGAGCTTAGTCCAGTATATTTCAAAGTAAAACTGGCCATACACTCAGTCTGAAGTCAAGGCCATGATAGGAAATAAAATCAGCCAAAGACTAGCACAAGTACTGGAAAATAAAATAAGGGAGTATAAAATGTAAGTTGTTCACTCAACTGTAAGAGGCCAGGTGAAAGTCATAAATTCACATTGTGAGATCAAAGGAAGTCCCTGACATTTCCTCTTGAGAGGTGGAAAAGGATTTGAACATTTTGATTCTTCATTAATGGTTTATCCTGATCTAACTGATGGTAACTATCACTGGGTGCATCTACATGTGCCTCTTTTAAACAGGCATAGCATAAAATTGCCATTTTTAAGGCACATGGCACGTGTCTACATGTGCATGCCCTTAATGCATCTTAAAAGTATCTCAAAATCTTTAAATTGGAGATTTAAGGCTATGTGAGCCTAAATTTGATACCTGCACAAAGCAGATATTAAATTTAGGTGCACATAGCTAAGTCACAATAGTGCACATGTAGATGCGCTAAAGTGCATTAACGCAGCGTGCATCAATGAACACACACCATACTAATGCACATTCGTGCATCTGCATGCGGGCTAATGCAGTTTAGCTATTCACACCTAAATGTAGTATGACTTAATGTGCATTAGTGCGTCCAATTGTAGACATGTGTCTAAATCTCCTTAATGTGCCTTAAGCAAAGGCGCATTAAATTTAGGCATGCATAAATGCATGTCTAGGCGCACCAATTGAGGTATAAGTAGTAATAACTAGTACTAACAGTCAAGGATTGAATTAAATTTGATTATAGGCAGAACCTGGATTTTTAAAAGAGGGTGTGTAGCTTGGGAACGTCAACCAGCACTATAGAGGTGACTTCATGCTAGTCCTAGCTTCTCCTCCTGCGGCGCTGGGCAAGAGGCACTATTTTGTTCCCTAAATCATATAAGAATCTCCCCCAACTCTACTCTTTCTCCCTTCCACTCTGCACTCAGTGTTATCTGTCCTCCCCTCCCCTTTCTCCTGCTCCCTATATCTCTGATGTCAGGAAGGGGAGACATGTCTATTGCTGCCACTGCCCTGGCCAGTCCTGCCCTAGTATAGCAAGGGCTATGTGGACCAGCTGTGGTGGTATGAGGGTTCCCCCTCCCTGTGCCTGCTCCTGGGATAGTGGAGAACTCCTGGGGGGACTGGGCAGGGACAGGGAACCCACCCACTGCTACCACTGCTTCTTCCCCAGCTGAGACTACCTCCCTGCACAGTCCAACTGGAGTGAGGCAGGAGAAGTTCTGAAACTCCCCTGTCCCCAAGTCAGCTGGGAACAGCAGAAGCAGCAGGCAGGGGAGGAGGAGCAGGGAATGAGATGGGAGGGTAAGTGCCATTGAATATGGAGGTGAAGGGAGGAGGTGCCAAGAACAGGGGATTTATATCCACTTCACAGACTTACAAAGCATGGTGCAAAGGGGATGTGACCACACTACTGCACTCCCTCTGGATCTGCCCCTGAATTGGATCACTGCAAGGGGTTGCAGCTGGAGACAGGCCCAAACCTAATCCACAGATCCAAAGACCCTGAAATCTGTTTACAAATATCTCTTATTGAGTTAAAAAAAAAGATGGAGAGAGAAGCATACCCCAAAAATTGGAGTTTGCTTTAACTGAATGGTGATTTCCCCACCACCACCACCCAAGAGCTGGGAATCTAGCTGTAAGAATCACGTGATGAAAAATCTCCTTGTTACTTTCCTTAAAAGTCTTCCTTTGAATGTATAGTAATATTGGGCTGTATTCATGACTATAGTATTGATTTTACATTTTCTTATTTTTCTTATATTGCTTTACATGTATTAATATATTGCTAAATGTGTAGCAGTCACCTATTCTTGAATTTATGATTGCAGGTGCAGGTCAATAGTGTGAGGATGTTTATATTTAGACAGCCATAAGCATTGTTTTAGGAAAAATGACAGTCCTTACATAGTGCCATATGTTAGCAAAGAGACCCAATCAGCCAATGAGGAAGTAAGGATCCATATTTGAGGATCTTACACTGTCTCATTGTATTGTGTGTCTGCACTCTTATTGTGAAGTAATTTTTACTTCATAATAACTTAATTCATACTAAGCATTCGTACAAGCACATGATCAGCTCTCTGACCTTCACAGTCGGCAACAGGGGCTATTACGGTTTCTAGTAAATAGATGGTATGAAAACTGATTTGCATTAAGCAAAGAGATGAGGGAGTTGCTAAGGGCGTGGATACACACATAGCATATCTATGTAACTTACACTGGTATATAGTCCTGCATTACTGAACAGTAACTTTATTCTGGAATAGAGTAAATTATTCCAGTATAAAGCTGGATGCCAGGTGTCCGTATTTGCTACAGAGTAAAATTGATTTGCTCTATAATAATTTTGTGCATCTTTCACATTAATACCTAAGGACTGTTAGCAGAAGTGCCCTGCCCCCCACGCTCTTAATTATCAAGATGAATTTAAAGCAACAATAATATTTCTGTTCAAAAGAAATTATATTCATGTGGTGTTATCCCACTTTTTTCCTCACTTTGTTTTTCAGCTAGCAAACATGGCATGCGTCTTATGGTTGTCTGAAATGATACTTAGCAAAATGAACACATTACAATTAATTTTTACCCACTCCTAAATATTTTGGAAGCACAGTTCAGGGTTTGTTTAAGGGTTTTTAAAACAAGGGACATTAGAATTTTGTTTTCTTCTTTTGAATAGGAATTACTGTTTTTAACATATTTATAAATCTAGACTGTTAAACACACACTTTACATTGTGCCTTCTCTTGAATGAAATGTTGTATACTTGCCAATAGTGTCTTCATTATTTATGATTCTTTTCAGAACTGGAGGCAGAGGAATGGTGCAAACACCTTTGCATTGAGTGTCTAGGAACAAGGCTTAATGATATAAGTCTTGGGGAACCTGATTTGCTTGCTGCTGGAGTGCAGAGGGAACAAAATGGTAGGTTATCTGATTTGCTAATACAAAGTATTTGATGGTTATCTGATTTGCTAGTACAAAGTATTTCACTTCTTAGAAGGTAAACTGCATTCAATATTCTTTTTATATCTCCCAGATATCTCCTACTAATCATTAGAGCATGGCTTTATTTTAGAAATATAACTATGTGTATATGATTAATAAGGAGAAGTTGACCACGTTACAAGAAGTGGGAAAATTTAGTTTAATTATTGTAATGAGTCTGTGACAAAGAAGGCATATATGTATATTCTATAATCAGTGTATCTACAAATGACATGGAAAATTACAATCGTGACTTCTAGCTCAAGAAGCAGCCTCTGCATAATGAGAGATAGCAGCAGGTATTGCAGTACTTCCCTTGAAGAAACTAATGAACATTTAAACAAATCAGCTATGTGCACCAAGAACCATTTTTAATTATGCATGCATACAATGCCTAGCACAATGACTCAAGAGCCTCTAAGCATTACCAAATGCAGATAAGAAATGTAAGTGCAGGGGGTAGATAGCTATGACGAATGTCTTGGACTTGTCATTCTTCCTAGGTATGCAGATATGGCCAAAAGTTTTGACTTGACAAACTGGGAACATCCAGATGGGCACACGTGTCTCTTGCAGCATCTCAGAGCCCTCTAAGATGCTGCAGGAGGCACATGCAAGAACACAAAATGGTCTCCGCACTGCAGATTTGCAATGAGGGGGCAAAATTAGATCCCAGGGATCCAAAATACCTCGGGGG